CCTGAGGAAACTTGTTTCTGAAAACAACTACCCTTATTTTCCCAGTGACTGATCAGTTCATCTCATCATCAAGAGTTTTCCTCTCTTACGCTGTCCCTACACCCTCCCAAGCATGATGTCTCTCTCAAAGGATTGGTCCCTCAATGCAGCATGTCCAAAATATGTCAGACGGAGCTTTAGAACACTTGCTACCAAGGAGCAGCCTGGCTCTCCCTCTCCAAGACAAACCTGTTTGTTCTCTTAGCTTGTTGTTGTTGTTATGTGCCATCGAGTCGTTTGCGACTCATGGTGACCCTATGTACAAGAGCTCTAAAAGCTGTTCTATCCTGTGCCAACCTAGCCATCCCAAACACACTTATGCCCACCGCTCCAGTCACAGAATCGATCCATCTCATCGAAGGTCTTCCTCTCCTTCGCCTCCCCTCCACTCTGCCAAACATGATGTCCCTCTCCATCAACCAGTCCCTGCTTGCAACATGCCCAAAGTATGTCAGACGAAGCTTCAGAACCCTTGACTCCTAGGAGCATTCCGCCTTCACCTTCTCCAGGACAAACCTGTTTGTTCCCCTAGCAGTCCATGGGATATTCCACACTCTTCTCTGGCACCATAGCTCAAAGGCATCAATTCTCTTTCTATCATCCCTATTCACTGTCCAACTATCTGATGCATAGCACGTAATTGTAAAGACTATAACCCAGATCAGGCGCACCTTAGTCTCCAGCCTGATGTCGTTGCTCTTCAGTACTCTTGAGAGGTCCCTCATAGCCAACTTTCCCAATGCAATTCATCTCTTGATTTTCTGCCTGCTGTTACCAAGAGTGTTGACTGTGGAGCCAAGCAAACTAAAACTGTTAACAATCTCAATCTCTTCACCATCCATACTGATGCTGCCAATTGGCCCAGTGGTGAGAATCTTTGTTTACTTGATGTTGAGCTTCAACCAATATAGGAGGCTGCAGTCCTTGACCTTCTGCAGCAAGCGCTTCAGGTCCTCCTCAGTTTCAGCAAGCAGGGTGGTGTCGTCTGCATAATGCAAGTTGTTAATGACTCTTCCAACAATCCTGATGCCACATTCCTCTTCGTACAGCCCAACGTCACAGATGATCTGTTCTGCATACAGATTGAAAAGCTATGGAGACAGAATACATCCGTAACAGACCCCCTTCTTGATTTTGAACCATGCAGTGTCTCCCTGCTCTGTTCTGATGACTGCCTCTTGGTCCAAGTATAGGTTTTCACATTAGCACAGTCAGATGTTCTGGGATTCCTGTTCTCCTCAGACTCAGCCATAGCTTGTTGTGATCCACACAGTCAAAAGCCTTTGCATAGTCAATGAAGCACAGATAGACATTCTTCTGGTATTCTCTGCTTCCTGCCAAGGTCCATCTTACATTAGCTATAATATCCCTAGTACCACAACCTCTTCTAAATCCGGCCTGCACATCTGGAAGTTCTCTGCTGACATATAGCTCCAAATGTTTTTGGGTAATTTTCAGCAGAATCTTGCTTGCATGTGATATTAATGATATTGTTAGATAATTTTCACACTCTGTTGGGTCACCTTTCTTTGGAATGGGAACAAATATCTATCTTTTCCAGTCAGTGGACCAGCTGGCTGTTCTCCAGATTTCTTGGCACAACTTAGTGAGCACATCCAGGACAGTGTCTGTCTGTTGAAATATGTCAATTGGTATGCCACCAACTCCTGGTGCCTTGTTTTTAGCCAATTCCTTTAGAGCAATTTGAACTTCCTCCATCACTTGCTCATATGTCATTTCATGAAATTCTTCTGCGGCAGCCAATTCCTTCTGATACAGTGACTCTGTATTCTTTCCATCTTCTCTTGATACTTCCTGGATCATTTAACATTCTACCCAAAGTATCCTTAAGTATTGCCACTGGTGGCTTGAGTTTCTTTTTCAGCTCCTTCAGCTTAGGAAATGCTGAACGAGTTCGGCCCTTTTGATTTTCTGACTCCAGCTCTCTGCACATTTCATTATAGTATCTTGCTTTGTCGTCCCGGCCTGCCTTTTGAAATTTTCTGTTTGGCTCTTTTATTTCTGGGTTTCTTCTTTTAGCTTTGGCTTCTCGGCGCTCTAATGCAATATTCAGAGTTTTATCTGACATCCATCTTGGTCTTTTCTTCTTCTTTAGCCTTTGTAATTATCTTTTGCATCCTTCATGGACAATTTTCTTGATATCCTCCCAGAGCTCATTTGGCCTATGCTCATTGGTGCTCAAGGCCTCAAACATTTTCCTGAGATGGTTTTGAAATTCGAGTGGGATAGACTTAAGATCAAATTTTGGTTCCCATGGACTTGGTTTAATTTTCCTCAACTTCAGCTTGAACTTGCACATGAGTAGTTGGTGGTCTGTCCCACAGTCAGCATCCGGTCTGGTTTTCACTGCTGATATTGAGCTTCTCCACCACGTCTTTCCACAAATGTAATCTGTTTGATTCCTATTCATGCCATCAAGTGAGATCCATGTGCATAGCCTGCGTTTATGTTTCTTATAGAAAGTATTTGCAATGAATAAATCATTGACTGTGCAGAACTCTATCATTCTATCTCCAGCCTCATTTCTCTCACCGAGCCCATATTTTCCAGGTACTGATCCTTCTTCCTTGTTCCCAACTTTTGCATTCCAGTCACCCATTATTATCAGTGCATCTTGACTGCATGTTTGATCAACTTCTGACTGCAAAAGTTGGTAGAAATCTTCTATTTCCTCCTCCTTAGCTCTTGTTGTTGGTGCATATATTTGAATTAGAGTGGTAATCACTGGTCTTCCTTGTATGTGTATGGATATTATCCTGTCACTCACAACATTGTATTTCAGGATGGATCTAGAAATGACTTTTAAAATTATGAATAGTTCTCTTAGCAGTCCATGGTATACTCAGTACTCTTCTCCAGCACCACAGCTCAAAGGCATCAATTCTGTTTCTATCATCCCTAATTATTTTAAAGTTTTCTGATGCATAGAAAGTAATTGCAAAGACCCTGGCCTGGATCAGGTGCACCTTACTCTCCAGATTGACATCATTACTCTCCATTAGTCTGGAGAGGTCCCTGACAGCAGACTTTCCCAATACAGTTCATCTTTTGATTTCCTGACTGCTGGTACCGAGCATAGCGATTGTGGATCCAAGCAAACTGAAGCTCTCAAAAATCTCAATCTTTTCACCATTTATCATGATGCTGCCAATTGGCCCAGTGGTGAGAATCTTTGTTTTCTTGCAGTTGAGCTTCAATCCATATAGGAGGCTGCAGTCCTTGACCGTCTGCAGCAAGCACTTCAGTTAAAAAAAAAAAAATCAACAAATACAAAAATTCATTACATGTGAGTTAAGTATAAATTCCAATAATTTACTGAATATATCAGAATAAAATTTACTGCAGCTGCTGTGTAGTCATGCTTTCTAACTTAGAAATTTGTCCTTCTAAATGAGTGATGAGCAGTGGTGGCCTAGTGACAAGAAGCTGCACTGCAATCCCAAAAGCGCACAGTTCTAATCCACTAGTTGCTTTGTGGAAGAAGGATGAGCATTCTCCTCTCTTACAGTTAATTGCCACAGAAAACCATCTAGAGAGTCAGCTATAGGTTGATTCCAACTTGATGGTACACAGCAGCAACAACAGCAAATGAGTGACACTTATTATGGCTCATCCATGCTTGTCTGTCAGTTAATAGTATTGGCTTAATATCCTTGTACCCTTTGTACCAGCAGTCAGGAAATCAGGAGACACGTTGCATTGGGCAAGTCTGCTGTCAGGGGCTTCTCCAATATACTGAAGAGCAATGATATAATTATGAAGATTAAAATGTATTTGATTCAAGCCATGGTCTTCTCAATCATCTGCTACACTTCAGAGGGCTGAACAATGAATAAGGGTTGACAAAAGAACAGACAGATATATTTTGGGGAAGATGCAGCCAGAGTGCTCCTTGGAGGAAAAGGTGATGATTTATTTGTCATACTTTTGACATATAGCTAGGTGAGACTGTTCTTTGGAAAGAGACATCATGGTTGAAAAAATGGAGGGCCAGCAAAGGAGAGGAAGACCCCAATGAGATAGAATGACATGATAACTTAAGCAATGGAATGTAATGTGTCAGAGATGACGTAGATGGCACAGGATAGGGCAGGGTTCAGTTTGTCTGTTCATAGGGCCTCTATGAGTTGGACTCAAGTGGAACTCTTCTAATAACAACATGAAGATGGAGCATTATGCTACCAGTTGGTCAATGCCAAGCATGGTCATCTAGGGTGGACAAATTTCAGCAAGTTTCCAGCCTAAGACAGATCAAGGAGAAAGACTTCATAATCTACATACAAAATGTAGCCAGTGGAAGACTTACGTATCACAGTAGAGTATTGTCCAGTACAGTATTGAATAATGAGATGAGACCTTTCATTTGGAAACTCAGTCGTTACCATCAAGTCAGAACCAACACGTAGCCTGCCCTCCAGCCAGCTTTCAGGAGGCCATAAATTGTATGGGAGGAGACTGGTCATGTTTCTCCTGTAAAGATTCAATGCATTAGAGGTGCTCTGTATTCTGGTTAGCAGTACAACTCTTTACCAGAGGCACTCAAAATGCACAGAGGTTGCAATATTGGTTATTGGTTACTGGTGATTCAGAAAATAGTGCAAAACCACATAGTGTCATGTTGTACATAGGACTGTCATAAATTGCAGCCAACTCAACAACTAACAATCACAACTGTTGTTGTTATTGTGTACCATTGAGTTGGAACCAACCTATAGCTTGACCCTCCAGTAGGTTTTCAGAGAAGCCTTTCTCATTTATTGTCTTAAAGTATATCACTGTACACTTCATCGTAACTAAAAAAATTCTGAGTTTTCATTAACTACTCCAGTCATTTCAATACTCATAATTAGTTTGTGTGTTGATGCAAATATCAGGGAATAGGGTTATATATGAGATAATTACTATGCCACTATAATTTATTCATTGTTTTTATAAAACAGATTCATTACCTGGAACAGAAGAAACCCAGATGGAAGAAGGTGAAGAATTTGAGAAAGCATCTCCATTAATAGGGCATGTAAGTTTATTAGTTTGTTTCATTTTTGCTCAAAATCTAATGTAAATTTGGGAGAAGGATGGCCAATCTCCTCCCGTGTAAGTAAATGCCTCTGAAAACCCATCAGACAGTCAGCTATGACTTGGTTCCTACTCAATGGTATGCAACAACAACAATGTATATTAGTAATAGTAAAATTTAGGAAGGATAGAAAACACTATTCTTTAAAGACTTTAAAAAATATCACTGCAGTGTACCAGTAGGTGGCTGACTATTGCAGATATACAGCAAAATTGTATTGTTTTCAGCAACTAACAAAGAGGATTTGAACAAAGTAGAAAACATAAATTCTGGTGTTACTAGTTATGTACAAATGAATATTCTAAAAGATTATAAATTGTCTCATTGTTGTTGCTGTCATATGCCTTTAAATCTCCTGCGACTCACAGTGCCACTGTGTACAACAGCTCTAAACCCTGCCCTGTCTTGAGCCAGTTTCATTATCTCTGACACACCTACTCCTGTTAACCCAGTCACTGAATCAGTCCATCTCATCTGGGGTCTTCGTCTCTTGCACTGTCCCTCCACCTTTCCAAGCATGAGGTCCTTCTCCAAGGTCTGGCAACATGCCATGGAGCTTCAAAAATCCTTGCCTCCAAGGAGCCAGCCTGGTTTCACAGTCTCCTGAGGCATCCATAGTTTCACTAGACATAATTTTGTTAGAAAAATGCATGCTTTGCATATCCTGGAGGCTCACATGTAACTTCTGTGTGCTATTTTACATTAAGATATACTGGGTTTTTTTCAATAATATATTGGGAGACAACCATTAAGGTTGAACATGTTTAAATGAAATAAGGTTAAAATAAATACAAGTTTTATATGTGTACTCTAAATATAAAATTCATAAAATACATCAACATGCTGAAATTTCAATGCAGCAGCTAAGGAAATCTTATTGTTAATTTTACGTGCTGTCAAGTTTTATTCCAGTTCAAAGGAACCCTAAGTGGCAGGGTGGAACTGCCTCGCAGAGTTTCTTAGGCTGTTATCTTTCTGGGAGGAAAATATGTCTTTTCTTGTTGATGGTGGATTTGAGGAGCAGACTTCTCCACTGGCAGCTGAGAGTTTACTATCAGAGTTCTCTAGTGTAATGTGGCATTATCCTAAGTATAACAAGTGGGGTGGGTTAACATACCCCTAAGTCACTCTTATTGTCACTGAAATTGTGGGGTAGATTAACGTACCCCTAAGTCATTCTAAGTCACTGAAATTGTATTTACAGCATTATTTTAATCACAGGACTTGGATATAAAGGCACTCTACTTCTCAATGAACTTCTTAATGAAATTTCAATGTAAAAAAAACCCATAAATTTATTACTATATTTGATCATTTGTCACTCTAATTAATACTTGGTGTTTAAATTTTTTCATTTCTTTCCTTTTTCTTTTTAATACTTGTCACCTCTACTTGTGAGAATCCACTGGAGGGCCAACTAAGAGTTAGTTATGACTACATGGCATACAACAACAACAACATATTGCTTACTACCTGTTTCCTTTTACCATGTTATAAATATATGAGGGCAAGAATTTTTGTTCCATTATTTAATTTCTGTAGTTCTAGAAGAGTACATACATATAATTCACAAATTCTTTTTGTCGAATCAGAACTGATGCACAGCTTACCCTCCAGCTTCAGACCCTTCAGTGGATTTTCAGAGACTAAAATCACACAGGAGGAGAGTCTCCAACTTTCTCCTGTGGAGCAGCTGCTACTTCCAAGCTATCTGGCATTGGATTGGCAGCACAATTCCTTACCCAGTAGGCCATAAGAGCTCCCTATACATAAGTGCACAATAAATATATGTTAAATGAAGGAAGTTAGAGTCATTCTTGACTGTGATTAAAAATACTTTTTATATACAGCCCTGGATAAATCAAATACCATGGTTGTCCTCTAACTCAGTTTTTACTCTCCTTACCTAACTTTTCTATTGTTAGGACCTCTGTAAAGTGTTGTGGAGCAATGATGTTGGTTTAAAGATTAAGGTGCATCTAATTCAAGTCATGGTCTGTTCAATTACTTGTTATGCATCTGAAAGTTGGACCATGACTAAGGATGGAAGAAGAGAATATGATATCCTGGAGTTGTATTTTTGTTGAAGAGTACCAAATATCTCATGGACTACCAAATGAACAAGCAGATATGTCTTAGAGAAAGTGCAGTTACGGTGCTTCTTAGCGGCAAGGATGGAGAAGCTTCATTACACATATTTTGAACATGGTGTTAGGAGGAAGCAGGCTTTTAAGAAGGACATCATTCCTGGAAAGGTAGAGGATCAGTGAAAGAGAAAGACCCTCAGTGAGCTGATTAACATAGTGACTATACCACTGGGCTCAAGTTATCAGAGATGATGAGGATGGCACAGATTAGGGCAGAATTTATAAAGTCTGTGAACTATGAACAGAGTTCACAAGGTCACTATGAGTCATGATCAACTCAGTGACACCTAACAACAACAACTACCTGATTATTCTGAGCAGCTGCCAGAGTAGTGAATGTGGAAACTAATAATTAGAGTAAGAATATTCATTTTAGGTAAGACAGAAACTCAGAGAAAGTTAAGAACAAACTCACATTAAAAAAGCAATGAGATCAGGAGTTGAACACCAGTCAATTCCCCTGCTACTACACACACTTGGAGTTTATATTGATTTTCTGTTCCATTTTGAATGATGGCTTATTGGTAAGGAGTTGCACTGCCAACCCTAAAGCACGTAGTTCAAATCCACCAGCTGTTCCATGGAAGAAAGATAGGCAGTCTCCTCCTATGTGATTTACTGCCTCTGAAAATCCACTGAAGGGTCTGAAATGAGTATGTTCTGACTTGATGTACTTAACAGTAACAACACATTTCTATTTATTCACCATTTTCTTCCATTTTAACCAGTTCTAATCCATGATCTGTAGCCCAAATCTAATTACTTCTTTATTCATTTGACCTTTAGATATAAGAACCTGTTAACCTGTCCTATCTAACAGCTTAATGAACTTAAGCATTTCAGAAAAAACACAGTCTGTTCTTTAAATAAATTCTTATATTGTTTAGATTTCAAAGATTTCGTTTTTCTTGATTCTTTGGCCATGTTCTTCTTCATCAAGTCCCTACTTAAATCTGAGTGTTGCTACAATTGAATACAGTGTTACAAAAATGATGCTCCCACATAAAATAAAAGAATATAGTGAAATATGTGTTAGGTACAAATATTTTTTTTAAATTATAAACTAGAGTTTCAGTAACTATTTGGGGGGGAACTCTAGCTTTCTGTATTTTATAAATGATGCATGTGTTTCCATAATCTGAAGATTATAAAAGCTTGTCATTATTTAGATTGTAATAAACTCATTCATCGTTTTTGCAAATGTTTTGTCAGCTGCTAATTCCATTCCTCATGTCTAGAATAGTTATTTTCTAATTGCTTTCTAAAATGATAATAATATATCTTCTTCATTGTATTTGATTTACTTAAAAAATATAAAAAAACCTTAAAGAAATTACCTTCATTTTTTTTAAACTGCCTCTGTGTGAATTCAGACAGACTCTTTAGAGATTTTTGCCTTTTCCCCCACAGAATCCACAGTGTTTATTTACTCAGGGAAAGAATTCTTTGTAGGTCAACTTGTTTTCAATTCTCTTTTCATTAGATTTTGAGTTCTTGAAACTTCTCCGATTCTATTTAATTCCATATTAGCAATCAGTTGTTTTATAAATGTGTGATATGTAAACATTACAGAGATAAGTGAACAAATAACCAGTTCTGGAGATATAATTTTTAGATGGCAGCAGCTTTTCTGCTGATTGAAAACCACAACAAATACATAACATGTTAGCAGTCGTTGTTGTGTGCCATGAGGTCAGAACTGAAATAGAGCTGATCCTCCACTGGATTTTCAGACGCTCTTTAATTGCACAGTTTTAACTTTTTAATTGGCCATCTTTCTCCTGGGGAGTAGCTGGTGGGTTTGAAATTGTTAGAATGATGTTATTTCACATAGGGATTACCAAATCCATAGTTATGCAAATGTTTTACTGTAATATTTTTGGTGAATTAAGAAGAACATTGTTCTTTTATCGAAGTATTAACAGAGAATTAAAACAAAACAAAACCTTCTTTCCTCTCTTACCGTAAGATGTGCATAATAATTCCAAACTAATTTTGACTCATATCCTGGAAAAATACAAACGTGCTACACATACTGAAAACCATTCCGATTACTTTCAACACATGCTTTCTCGGTTTGTTAACTTTGCATATTGTGTATTGGATATTGCTAAGTGGATAACAGACTCTTGGAAACATTTTCCTCCCAGTGGTTTAACTTGTGCTTGAAATATTTTGTGAATAAAAAGTAAGTGAAGGGCAGCATATACATTTAGATTGTTATCCTGCCCCAGATAAGCAAATCATTCTCCTGGAATTTTCCTCTCCCCCTCCTTCTCCCATGTTCTGAAATGCTTTTTAGTGTGTCTGCAGCCTGTGCAGATGAAAGCTGGATTTGTCAGGAAATCCATTTATTTAAAATGAATCAACAAAAAGAAAATATTAAAAAGAAAATTCCAAGCAGCAGGTATTGACTTTGACCTTTCAAGCTTCATAATATAATAATTTTAGATTAATCATCTACAAAAATCTCACATTTTATTTGTCTTCTTTAAACTTAAAAAGTAAATTATGTTTTCAAAGTATTGAAAAACATGGTTATAAAAGAAAAAAATGAAAAGATAATTTAAGAGAAATTTGATGTTCAATAGCTTACTGACTATTTTTCCCTTGGAAATTTCATCTTTATTTCATTTATTGTTCAATTTTGACGAGTGTATTATCAGCTACACGCATTAGATTTTATATAAATGGTGGTCATTCCTAAAAGCTGAAAATATATTAAAAGAAGTCTTAGAAAGAAGGTGGAAATAAGAAACATTAGTGAAGATTGACAAAGTTGCAACCCTTACC